TGTTGGAAGTATTGTGCGAAAGACCAGCGCTGGATCGAAGAGTCGAAGAGGATGAGCAGAGCCTCACCATTTGGGCTCAAGATTGCATCAGCAAAGGAGAAATTGATCGGCTTGTTGCTCCAAGTCTGAGGCCCCAAATATCACCGGAGAGCCTGACGACATTTCTTGAAGTTGCTAATAGATGCTTGCATGACGAACCAAATAAACGGCCTACAATGGCTCAAGTTGTGGTACAACTTGAGTCTGCACTGGAGCAGCAATCTTCTGCTCTAGAGAGAACTAGTTCTGATAGTGTCATGCCTTGTAGTGGGGAAACTCCCTATTCAATTAGCGTTGAGATAGAAGAAATTTCCTCTGTGGATGAGCAGAATATGCCACTCTCTCTGACTAAAGGAAGCAAAATGATTCAGAATGCTGAGCCATCAGGCAGAGGAGCACAAATGTATAAGAGAAACAAAAATGCTTATAAGCTACCACGATTTTGGCCATGGAATGCATTATGGAAAAGGGCAAACATAACGAAGAAAAATCATTCATCAATACCAGGTAGTGTAATGACTGCATACAAATTTGATAATAACCCCATAATTGGAAGTGATTTCAAATGGTTGTCTCAGCAACTCACCCTAAGCTCAATAAGATGAAACAGACGAAGTTTAATATATTATGTATTCTCCTCTTGTGGTCTGTTATCCGTTTAGCTTGTGGATTCATTACGATGAAGCTTGCACAGAATCATTTATAATTAGAGCAGCCAAGCTAGAAATTAATCTTAGAATTTTTTGAGACATCTATCTCATATAAGTTCTATATCTCAAATATTTTTATCAAAATGCTTCTCATTTTTTGATGTTTCGGTAAGTGTAGAAATGAAAAGGAGCGCCAAAGAAGGATACATACGATCCCAAATTTATTGGAAGTTAAACTTTTTAGTAGTTTGTTGTTGTTTTAGTTGTGAAACAGTGATTTCTGGCATTAGTGGATGCCTTCTGAAAGTGTCAAGCTTGATTCCTTTGATAATTAGAATGGGCGAGCTCGAACAAACGTTTTTATTAGTCAAATTCAATTTGAATAGCACTAGGTTCAATCAAATTTATGTCTCACAGCTAATGAAGGAATTATCTCGCAGAATATTTTGGAGAGGGTGAATTGCATAGATTTGATCTGGCTGAAATTGCAGCTGCAACTAAGAACTTTTCGCTTCCAAATAGGATTGGAGACGGTGGATTTGGTGGTGTTTATAAGGTGAGGTTTGCTTTTCCTTGCTTAGCTAGGAAATTAAGATGGTAATTTGAACTTCCATCTGTCTGCTAATGCTATTCTATCGGTGTAGGGTCTGTTATCTACAGGACAGAAAGTTGCTGTTAAAAGGAGAGCATGGGATGGCTACGAATTTAAAAGTGAAGTTCTTCGGCTTTCCAAAATTCAGCATCAAAACATCATTAAAGTACTTGGATATTGCATTCATGGAGACGAAACCATAATTGTATTTGATCTCATGGAGAACAAATCTCTAGATGCTCACCTATTTGGTTAGATTCTCCAGTCCTCCGAATTTTCTAATATTACACTGTAGATTCTGGAATATAATATTATTACTTCTGCATTAACTAAATTCTGATCAAACATATATAAGCTAACTTAACTTGAAATGAGACAGGTGAAACGAGACATGAACTTGGATGGACCATACGTTTCAAAATCATTATTGGTATTGCTCGTGGAGTTCTTTATCTTCACCAAGATTCAGGATTGAGAATTATTCACAGAGATATCAAAGCAAGTAATATTTTACTTGACAGAGAGATGACCCCTAAACTTTCAGATTTTTGTTTAGCTAGAACTTTAAAAGAACTTCAAACTGAAACTTCCACGAGGATTGTTGGGACATTGTAAGTATCAAGACAACCAAGTGTGCTTTTAATTCTACCTCTGTCTAAAGTAACATACTAATTTCTGTAATTTGTCTAATATTGGTATGCAGGTGGTATATGTCTCCAGAATATGCCATGCAAGGTATATTCTCATTTAAGTCAGACGTGTTCAGTTTCGGAGTTCTTGTTCTAGAGATTGTGAGTGGAAGAAGAATTAATCGTCCTTTTTCTGACCTTATTCAGTGTGTAAGTAACTAACTTAAAGATTATCCTCGTAATACTTGATGTCACCAAATTGACACTATGAAATGAGTCGTTTATATTTGGTATATGTTCAGGCCTGGACGACGTGGAACGAAGGAAAAGCATTAGAATTTTTAGATAAATCAATGAAGGGTGAGTTTCCAGCAGATGAAGCATTAAGATGTATCCAAATTGGACTTTTATGTGTCCAAGAACTACCAGGTGATCGACCAACAATGCAATCAGTGCTTGAGATGTTGGAAGGAGAAGTTCCGTCATTGCCGCAACCGTTACCACCTCCATATGTTAAAACACAACCGTTACCACCTCCATATTTTGAAACATATTCTGGATTGAAAACAAGCACTCACATCGACTCCACCAATGAGGTAACTATTACACAGTTAGAGTGTCGATAGAAAGCATGTCTGCAGGACTGCATTTTTGGTTCAATTTGAAGGTTTCTTTCATATGATTGCCAACAAAGAAGAATCGATAATCTTATGAAGCAGTTTTATATTTGTATGCTATGCACAAACCATATAGTAGTTTTATGCATGTATTCATATAAACACGTTGGTAATAGTTCTCACTCGCATCCTTTCTTTGAGTTTGAACAGTTGTGTTGTAATGATATTCGAATCCTGCATTTGAAGATAACACTATTTATCTAAATTGTTTTTTATTAGGCAATTTTCATTTGATAGGCATCTTGAGTTCACTTGTGACAAATGTTAAGCTTGCATTTAAAGTTGAGTACGAATGAACATTTAAGGATTATTAGGTAATCTAAATCTCCATTACAGTGGAAAAATGACACATTATTGCAAAAAAAAA